ACTCAAAACCCTCATTTTCAAATCCAACAAGCAAACGAGCTATAAATTTACTTACACAATAGAAATGAACACTAGTTTAAATGGGCAAACTTGTTGTTGTCATAAAACTAGATTATGAAACGAGGAAAATCTCAAATGAATCTTAGAGATAGTGGAAAGTCTTCTCCAACTAATAATTGAAATATCCAATTTATCTTTTTTAACTCACCAGATATATCCGCTTGCTTGTGCTTCGCGACGAGTGAAAAATAGCACGGTAAATGTGTCGTTATGAAAGAATTAGTAAAATGTAAATCATACGACATAATTTCAGGAAGGACAAGAAAAATCATTAGAGATGTTGTGGGAGAGGTTAGTAGTAATTTGCACTCGCTGGCCAATGAAGTTATGAATTAGCGGATGACGATTGACATAATTGGAACTCGATAACAGTTCATTAAAGAAATTACGAAGTTTCTATGTTTGAAATGGAAAATAACAAAAAGGAAAAAGATGAAAAATGACATGGCGTGTTGACTAATGCTCAATGGTGTTGACCGTTCAAATTGACGGTCAAAGCATGTGTCGGGCCAATTTAGTCTATATGCTGCATAGTTGAGGCCAGGATGTTATTTTCTGAAACCACGTGCCAAAGTTGATTATATGGTCATAGTTCGGGCCAAAATAAGGTATTAACCCTTTTAATAAAGAGCGAGAAAGAGATGAGTAAGAATGCAAAATCAAATACGAACAAAAAGGCTTGATTTACAACAACAACAAAAATACGCTTAATGAATGGTAATACATATTAGAAGATTTCGCTATGATTTTCCTATTTGAGCTCTAACAAGAAAGAGATGACTAAAGATGTAAACCAAATACGATCAAATAGTTGATTCAACACCACAACGCTAAAAAATACACTTACTAGGAGATAGAAAATTAGAAATAAAAAAAACATGGATATATATATGAATAAAAGAAAGGAAAAAGAGACAGAAATGAAAAAAATGATTGGTAAGAAGGGAAAAGAGTGAGATCAATTGGATGGGACACAACTCAATGAAGTATTACCCATGAAGTTGGAATTATTTACGGTTTTACCATTTAATTAATAATAAATTTAGAACCAAGCTTTTTATATATACATAAGTAAATAAAATTTTCTTGAGTTTTGAAAATTCATGTTATTTGTAATGAAAAGGTCATTCAAAATGTGTCATTCAAATATTTCAGGTGCATTCAAAATTATGCATTCCTTGAATAATTAACTTATAATTTTTAAAAAATATATTTTGTAGCAAAGTTTAAAAGTTCATACAAACATTGTGGCTTTTCACGTGTATTTAAATTATTGGATGTATAGTAGACACATCTATTGTTAATATCTAAACATATATATACAAAGAGTTTATTTTACTTTCAACACTAATTAATACCTTTGATCTCAACTGCTTGGGTGGAATATGATATCAATTTTTTTTTAATATTGCCAAATTTGGTATGAAATCACAGACTCACAACTATATAGACTTGTTACAATTTTCTTACTAAACTCATTTTTATTAAATATATTTTGACTCAATAGCTCGGTTTACACTATTGTAACTATAAATTTTTTTGTTTTATATGTGAAGTAAAATATTAATGATATTTATTACATCAATCTTCGAATTTAGATTTTCTTAGCATGAAATGTGATGTTTAACGTGCATCCTTAACAAAGATTTCTCTAAATTTCACACATTTCATTTTTCAAGTGATCTCATGTCTCATCCTAGAATATGAAGTCAAAGTTCATCAACTATTATACTCAAGTCAATTTGGAAACTTCAATTTATAATTTTTAACAATAAATAACTCCAAGTCTGAAAAGAAAATTTCTTAGCATATGATGTAAGACCTCAATAGAGCTTGTTCAATCAATATGACTTAGAGAAAATATTAGTAATGTGAACTTAGGATACATTATAAATACTGATATGTGATTCATATGTTTTCACTTTATCAGAATAAATAAGAAGCTTTTTTAAAAACTAACTATTATTTCTTGGTCAAGTTTCTTTTAGACCTTATCGATAAAATATTATTATTTTTGCGTGTTTGTTTAAATTATTCATTAAAATGTAAATTATTATTAAGTTTAAGTAAAAATGAGCAGAAATTTACATGGTAATCTTTAATAATATATTTTTTGGTTTTAAAAGTGTGATATATATGTCACTCTATGAACATTAGTATACTGTTGCGTACATCGATATAATGCAAAACCAAAATGTGATATATGTCACTCTCCATCATGATTGTCGCGCCAGCCGACATGCCACCAGTTGAACCATTCAACTGGTACCGGTCATGAAATCGACATGACACCATCAGTATGACCGGTATGATCGTTTTACGAATTTATAAGTAAATTACGTAGTTTTAGTGAATTTAAGTATGAGTACATGTAATTTTATTTGAAATATCATATTTTATTCAAATATCAATATGAATTGTACGTAAATTTTCTTCAAATATGGTTTATGTATGATTAAATTCATTTAATATTAATAATTTTTTATATTTCTACATATTTTATTAACCGACATGAAACGACAAAAACTGGTTGTACCACAGGTAAAACCATTCCACTTGTTAAACCTATTTGATAACCTTTCTCTCCATATATTATTTATAGATATAATGCAAAAACAAAAGCAAAATAATTATTGGATAAAAGAGAATTAAATATTAAATGAAGAGAGAGGGACAACTCCATAAATAGGTCAATAACTATTTTTTTGGTAAAAAAATTGTCCACCTTGGCAACTTGAGATCTCTCCAAGTGCTTATGTGGCAAAAATTTAATTTTGAATTACCATAATATTATGTATATATATATTGTACGTGGCGTAAGATGTTAATAGGATATGCTTTGGATATAATCTATCTAATAATGAACGGGACTTGAAAAGAAATTAAAAATCCGGGAAGAGAGGTAAGAGAAGGAAATGGTACAAGAAAGTAAGAACACATTTAATTTGACAAGTCAGTGCCCATAACTGATACTAATCGGCCTGTCCGTTGGCCGGATAAATTTTGTTAATAGTAGAAATAATCATAGTAATTGTCTAAATCAAGACATGTTTTATTTTATAGCATAGACATTTCAGATCATTTAGAGAGGTTTCTTTCCATCACTAATGTAAGCAAATTGGCCTAACTCATCTAAGTTTTGCTGATGATCTCTTGACTTTTTTTAGGGGTAAGCCTGTGCATTAACTGGTATAAGGAGGGTGTTGGATAGATTCTATAGATTATCTGGTAGACAATGCAAGATAAGTGCGAGGTATTCTTTGTTGGAGAAGCTCATAAATATAAGTTGAATGCTTCGTCTTTATCTGGCTTTAAGGAAGGCACTCTACATGTGAGGTATCTGGGTTTACCTGTGCTTGCAAGTAAACTGTCAAGTGGAGAATGTGTAGTGCTGTTGGACAGGTTAACTTCTCGGATCAGAGGCTTTAGAGCCAATAAACTCTCTTATGCAGGTCGGCTTCACCTTGTTGAATCTATACTCTATGCTTTAATTCACTATTGGATGCCAATTTTTATTATTCCGAATAAAGTGATTATGGATATACAGCGCCTCTGCTCTAATTTTCTCTGGCTTGGTGATGGGGCTGGCAGAGCTACAATTGCCTGTGAATCTATTGCCCGACCAAAGAAGGAGGGAGGCCTTGGATTGAAGGACTTAACCACCTAGAATGTGGCATGTCTAGCTCGTTTAATCTGGCTCCTTCTTATGCAGGGTGGTAGTTTTTGGGTGGCTTGATGCTTTAGATACAGATTAAGAGGGGCCTCAATCTGGGATGTAAACCTACTGCCTCTGGATCCTGGATATGGCGTCAATTAATGAAACTCAGACCTTGTTTCAGATATAGAATGGATCTTGATGATGTTGGTTGTGTGCTATGGCTTGGAAGGAAAATGCTAAAGTTTTATGTTTCAACCATTTGGGAAACTATCAGATTCAAAAACCCTGAGGTGCGTTGGTGGAGGATACTCTGGGGGAAGTTTGTACTGCCAAGGAATCGTTTCATTACATGGATGGTTATCCTGGATCGTATTAAGACAATGGATATGCTTAAAGTCTGGGGAGTCATTGATGTTGCTGATTGTGTGCTGTCACAAGTCTAATGAGTCCAGGCAGCACTTGTTCTGCGAATGTGAATATTCTATTGCTTTCATTTCTGCTCTTATGAGGGTGCCTGTTTCTCTGCAGCCTTGCTGGGATAAGATGCTTGAGTTTATGTGTAGGAAAGCTTCCCAGGGAGGTAGTGAGTCTTTGTTGGATTATTCTTTTTGGTGCTGGAGTATAAGCTGGCTTTGGAAGGAGTGCTGTAGACGCTGTTTTGGGGAGAGTTCGAGAGCTCCAGAAGTTTTGGCAGAGTTACTCAGAGAAGAGATGAAACTTTTTAGCTACGGTCATTTTGATTTTTCTTCTGAGGGTTTGAAGAGTTCTAGTTATAGCCAACTTGGGATAACTTAGATTATTATTGTGGTTTTTTGCTTCATGTTTGTTGTTCTCAGGAAGTCTGTAGGCTTTTACCTTCTGTATTTTTCGCCTCTTTTGCTTTTTGGTAAATAGTGAGCTTCAATGGTAACCTCTAATTACTAGAAAAAAAAGAGGAGGCTTTTCTTGCGGAGAAATTGGGATGGATAGAAATGTTAGTGTGCGTTATATGATCCACGATTGAACCTCTCCCAACAACTCGAGTTATTGGGACCAACTGGTTCTTGACATTGTATCAGAGCTTTATTTGACCGAGAGGTCTTGTGTTCGAATCCCGGTGACCCCATTTGTGAAGCACATGTATTCCGTGTTCAGAACATGTGCAAACGAAAGCCCTTACCAGTTGACTGGCTTTCGTTTGAGGGGGTGTGTTAGTGTGTGGTATATGATCCACGATTGAACCTCTCCCAACAACTCCAGTTATTGGGACCAACTGGTTCTTGACAAGAAAAAGTAGGAAAACTCGTAGGTTTTATATTCATTATAATTATTTAATTATTAATACTTTGCTCGTTGTTCTATAAAAAATATAAATTTTAATTATTCAATTTACAAAAATATCTTTTCTAAAATCACCTAGAAATTTTAGATGGAGCATGTTATGAATTATGATGGAGAACCCCATTAATAACTGGTAGGAACTAGGAAGCATTGTGATTTAACTTAGAATTTTGTGAAAAGGGATATAAGCACCCCTGCGGGCTGCGACCCCTGCCGCAAATTAACAACGATAGCAATCGGAAAACACTAGGATGGAGAGAAAAAGAAAAAGAAAAAAATAAAAATAAAAGATCGCAGAAGTTTGTGAACGCAACCAGCGAAATTAAACTAACTACCGCAGCTTAACATCGTTTCCCCAACTCTGTACGCGGCGTAGGCATCAACGGTCGCACTCTCGATCTGCTCCATGCTCAGAGCTCCTTCGCACCAGTTGGACCAGATCACCGTCATCGGCTTCGGATCCAGCTCCTTCTTCTTCCTATTCCCAACTTTACCGGCCAGCTCCCTCGCCCCGTACGCCGCCAACGCCGGCTTCCTCATCACGGCCGCGGCTAGCTCACTCAGCTCCACCGCGTTCCCCACCACGATCCCGTACTCCCGCCGCAGTTTCTCCAGGTCCTCCTTGATGTGGACGCCCGCGAATATGGCATCCTTGAAGGCCATGAACTGCCGGAGGGACGGCGATACGGATCCGGCACCCGGTTTCAGCCTCACCAGGATGCAGCCCAGCTCCGTGTAGAATTTGAGCATCACGATCGGGTGGTCGAGCCCGGCGGTCCCTGATCTGCAGAGGTTCCACTCCGTGGCGAAGCCGACCAGCATGTTGCGGCGCTGGATCATGTCCTCGAGCAGGACGTAGAGGATGGTGTGGGCGTCGTCTTCGTCGGCCACGACTTCGGTGAATACGGTGGCGCCGTCGGAGAGGTTGAGCTTGATTCCCTTTGGAATGAAGGACATTTTGCTGATTATTGCTTGCAGGATATGGATGTGGATGATCAGATTCCGATGGCACAAGTAGAGGGGATGGTCTACTTATATTAGATTAAGAGGAGACTCTTGAATCATTGGAAGGTCAACGGAAGGAACAAATAAACAAAGAAGAACTATCTAATTGATTTCACAAGGGAACAGTTCTTCAGTATTGACCAAATCAAACCTTTACCCAGCTTGCGGCAACATGATCAGATGAACAGGAATAGTGAGCTCAATAGGCAAAAGGAGAACAAAGTGCTCAAGTTGCAAAAAGCACCTGACACAGTAGCATACCAAATATGCAAAGATCAAAGCAGCTAGTCTCGTCGCCTTGGATGAAAAAATATACGTAACATAGCTGACTTATAAGTGAATCCACCCCAGTTCTTCATTTCCTGCTATCATTTCCACGGATATGCTACACAATTTGGTAGCAGGACGGTGATTCCTTTTCGACGATCTGCATTCTGCTTCCTCCTGCCTTAGTCAATCATCAATATGGTCTTTCTACCGGTTTAACAACGTCCACATATCGACTTTCCACCAGCGTCGGGTCTTCCACTATCAATCAAAGTAGGAACCCCGTCCAGGAAGACATGAAAGGGAACACAGCAACCAGCATCCGGAACAGAAGAGGTTTCTCCCTAACTCTTCTTCTGCTCATCCTAACTCTGTTTCCTTGCTTCCTTTGCCCATCTACCTTCCTTCCGTTTCGCATTGTAGTTGTCTTTGTTCGTGGAGTCTCATTGCCTACTCTATCTAGCTCGTCCCACCCACCAAACCCCGGACCACCTTTGCTATCCCTCTTCTTATGTGCACCATCGTCATCACCATCTTTTGCTACCCATGACTGATAACCGTTCCCACTTCCATTGCTTCTTCTTTCTTCTTCTTCTTCATCTTGTTCCTTTCTCGCCCTTGTTTCGGTCGTGGAAGCAGTTTTGCTAAAGGGTCTTTTCTTCCTTGATTGGGTCCATGATCTGGTTTTGGGTCTTTTCTCGTATGTGCTTCTTCCCCAGAGCTTGTCAACCACCAGTGAAACCACGGTCTGACCTAGTGGAACTGCTAAGGCCATGAGCAATGCGTTTTGGTCCGTTCCTACCAGCATAGATACTGCAATTGCTGGAAACATCCAACCTAAAGCTGCCATCACCTGCAGAATCCGAAAGCCTAATCAGTAACCCATTGGAGTTAAACATAATGCGCAGTGTTCTACATCCAAATTCTCCCCTTTCAGTATCTCAACATTCACCAGTGGCTTACCAAAAGGAAGATGCGCTACAAAGGAGCTGAACAAACTTGTCCGCATTGATTCACTACCGAAATTATGAACACGTAATAATTTTCAGCGGTGACTAGAATTTCGATTAGTGTCTTGAATTACCTTGAAAAGGGGGAACTCATTCTTCGTATCATCCACCTCCCACGAATCTGAATCGAAATCGGAATCAGCGTCTTCATCGTCGTCGTCGAGCCACCAGACTCTCTTGGTCGAAGAAGCTCCGCCAGACCGGAAACCTCCATACCGATCATCGCTGTCGTCGGTGAAGAGCTCATCTCTGAAGTTGTACCTTAGCCGTCTGGTCGGTCCCCGGCGACTCCAGTTGGTGAAAGCTGTGGTGGGAGGCAAGATCCCAGAACTCTTGAATTCGCAGGGGTATTGGACAGCAAGTGATGGTAGCAGCGGCGAGGGAGGGTTGAAGTGGAGCTCGAAGAGAAGAAGGCGGTGATATGGTTCCATTTGCGGGTAACTTTAGTTATCGTTGTCCAAGTCTATCGAGATATGGTTTTAGTACTCGGATCCGGGTCGGCCCGGGCCTTGCTCGTTTGCTAATGGTTTGCAAATGAGGTTTTAGCCATCATTTGAATTTACTATTGGGTGTTTTGGAGGAATTTATGTCGAAGTAAGCATGATGGAAAGTTGGGAATTAGAAGATTAGAGAATTTTAACTAGGCTTTGTTGGCCAAAATTGCATGAAGAATATGGATGGAGTTGGAGTCATTGCTTGTCCGGGTACTTAAAGGAAAATATTCATCTAATTCAGTAGTGCTAGAGGCTGGAAGCAGATCAAGGCCTTTGTGGGGTTGGATAGAAATTTTGCATGGTCGAGATCTTCTACTGGAAGCATTAAAATGGCAAATTGGGGATGGGGAGCAAGCTCGTATTTGTGAGGATAGCTGGATCCCAGGAGTGCCATGAAGATAGGAGGTTGTCTTACCGGCGGCTCCAGTGGTGATAGGACAAAGGGTGGCGGCTTTTATGGTGCCAGGTTTCGGATAGTGGTATACCTTCGAGATTGGTTTGTAGGGGAAATTGTAACGAAAATTTTAGAGATACAATTGCCCCAGCTGCAGGTTGAGGATAAACTTGTGTGGGAGGGAGAGCAATCAGGTGTTTATTCGGGAAGTCAGGTTATCATTTAGCTTTGCAGTTGAGTCGACGGCAGGCAGGGAAGAAGGTGGAAGTATCCTTTTTTGAGCGCTCTTTCTGAAAACAGATATGGAGCTTTAATATTCTACCCAAGCACAACTTGTTCGTCTGGCAAGCGATGAAGATAATCATGCCTACAACAGAGGAGATCATTGAAAATGGTGGTACGTGTGCAACCCGATCTCTGGTGTGTTGGGATGTTAGGAACGGAACAACAAAAGGAACGAGGTTACCGAATCTGGAGCTGAGTCGCGGACTAGGTCGCTTTTTTTAAGACGTTCGCGGCACTGCCTTCGATGCGCATGGCAGACTATCAACCGGTCGTCTCCAGGATAAAACAGCTCCTCTCAATACTCGCGGTTTTGTGCGAAAACCGAAGCTCTCTAAACACTCTCTCTATTGTGTTTCTGCTCGTTGTGATGTGTTTAGAGGGGCTGGGGAGGCGGCTATTTATAGGAGCCGAACCCCTAGGAATATACCCTCTTGCTTGGGGAATAAGTCGGATTAATTAAGGAAGATAATTACTTCCTTAATTAAAACCGTCGGTTAAGATAAACCCGGAGGGATTATCCTTCGAATATTCCGTTTTAGTCGATTATCCTTAGGAATATACCTCAGAATAACAGATTAATAATTAATTATTAAATAATTAATTTCGTTCGGAATTTCTCCAAAAATATATATATATATATAGTCTCAAGTGAACCAACCAACCGGCCGGTCGGTCGGACGGCGCGCGTGCGCGCGCGTGTGTGGTGGTCCATTAGGTCCTCCCTCTCCCACAAAAGTGGGTCACCCCAAGGGGCATGCCCTTGGGAGAGAGGCTCCTATCTTTATACACATTTCACCAAGTAAAACTACCAATGTGGTAGTTTTTCCACTAGAGACTCTATAGCTTTCAAAGCTATTCATATACATTTCCAACAATCCCCCACTTGAATAGTTTTGAAACTATCTCTGAGCATCAACAGTTCCATAAGATCGGGCATAAGCTAAGGTATCGCGAAGATTTGAACCTTAGCGTAGTGGTTACACTTCCGATTTCATAAGGGTGACTCGTAGTCTTGAACCCTATCTCAGACAGTGTAGCACACCGGATCTTTTCATTGAGTTGTGTTCTCTTCATAGCCCGTGCGTTTATGGCCATGCACGTTACCCTGGTTTAGTGAACGCTCTAGCAACTTTGTGCCTCCAAAGTTCCATAGGGAGCGGCCCCACTCCCACATTCACATAGGTGAGTCTATCAAGAGTACCCCCAAAGTAAAGTACTCCACCCCACATAGGGTATAGACCTCATTAAGAGTTATTAACTCAACCTCCATTGCTTTGGGATTCATGCTTCACTATGCATGAACTTTTCGCATACTACTCATGACTTGTTATCACCCATTGAACCCATTTCTTGGGATCTCCAGTCTATTGGGTCGGGTTACCATCACTTGTAGTCCGTGGTTCGGTAGGCATAAGTCCCATACCCTTGGCGGTATTCTGGACTTTCTCTCTAGGTAATCCTTTCGTCAAAGGATCAGCTAGATTCTGTTCGGATCTTATATGATCCACCTTCACTGCTCCTATCGTTAGGAGTTCTCTTACAGTACTGTGCTTACGACGAATCTGTCGTTTCTTTCCGTTATAGAACCGGTTCTCAACTTTAGCGATAGCTGCGGTACTATCACAATGGATCAATACCGGAGGGACCGGTCTTTCCCATAGGGGAATCTCTGACAACAATCCTCTCAACCAACTTGCTTCTTCACTAGCCGTTGCTAGTGCTATCATCTCTGATTCCATAGTTGATTGAGCTATGATTGTTTGTTTCTTTGACTTCCAAGACACAGCTCCACCAGCGATGTTAAAAACATACCCGCTGGTTGCCTTGGAGTCATCTGATAGGGTATTCCAATCCGCATCACTATACCCTTCTAGTACAGCAGGAAACCTTTGATAATGTATACCAAGGTTTGCTGTTCTCTTGAGGTATCTCATGACCCTCTCTATAGCATTCCAATGCTCTCTACTAGGACAGCTGTTAAACCTGCCAAGCAATCCCACGACATATGCAATGTCTGGTCGAGTGTAATCCGCAGCATAACGGAGACTGCCAATGATGCTAGCATATTCTGATTGTCTTACACTGTCTCCAGTGTTCTTAAATAGCTTTACACTAGCATCATACGGAGTACACGCAGGTTTACAGTCGAAATAGTTATATTTCTTCAAGATCTTCTCTATGTAGCTAGATTGATCTAGAGAATAACCATTTGCTGTTCTAGTTATCTGGATTCCAAGCATAAACTTTGCTTCTCCCAGATCTTTCACTTCAAAGCTCTCTTTTAACATGGCTTTTGCTTCATTGACCACGTGAATATTTGTACCAAATATCAACATGTCATCTACATACAAACATATGATAGTACAAGTGTTATTTTCTGACTTGCAGTAAATACACTTGTCACTTTCATTCACCTTAAAGCCATGTGAGAGAACGAGAGTGTCAAACTTCTCATGCCACTGTTTTGGAGCCTGTTTCAAACCATATAATGATTTGTCTAACTTACAGACTTTCGAGGCATGTTCGAGGATAACAAACCCTTCTGGTTGTTCCATATAGATTTCTTCATCTAGATCACCGTTCAAAAAAGCGGTCTTAACATCCATTTGGTGTACCACGAGATTGTTCAAGGCAGCAAGAGCAATCATTACACGAATGGATGTTATTCTAGATACTGGTGAATAGGTATCGAAGAAATCTATATTCTCTCTCTGCCTGTAGCCCTTAACTACTAGGCGAGCTCGGAACCTTTCGATTGCACCATCAGGTTTCCGTTTTGTTTTTAGAACCCATTTATTACCTAAGACTTTGAAGCCAGGAGGTAAGTCTGTTAGATGCCAAGTCTTATTAGCTTCTAACGATTCCATTTCATCTATAACGGCCTCATTCCAAAAATCTGCATCTACGGAAGTTAATGCTTCCTGCAAACTTTTTGGATCTTCGAGGGTGAATACTGTAGTAAAGTCATCACCAAAATCTTTAGAGATTCTAGCTCTTTTACTTCTTCTGAGTTCATCCTCAGAACCAACACCCCCACGAGTTCCGTTATCTCTAATAGTAGGTAGTACATTACCCCCACTATTTCTTGTTTTAAATGGAAATCGTGTCTCAAAGAAATCAGCATCAATGGATTCTATTATAGTACGAGCATTCAAATCATAGAATCTATATGCCTTACTATTGGCCGCATAGCCAACGAAGACACATTCATATGCTCGACTAGCCAATTTAATCCTCTTAGGATCCGGAATTCTTACGTAGGCCAAACAGCCCCACGTTCTTAAATAGGACAGATTAGGTGGCTTATTCTTCAAGATCTCATAGGGTGATTCTTTTCTATTTGTTTTTGGAAGACGGTTTAGCACATAGCAAACTGTCAACAAAATATCACCCCACCAAGAAGAAGCAGCTCCAGAATTGAGCATAATAGCCACGACTAATTCTGTAAACGTCCTATTTTTCCGCTCAGCTTTACCATTCATTTCTGGTGAATATGGTGCCGTGGTTTCATGAATGATACCATGTGAGCTATAAAATTCCTTGAAGGGATTAGAGTCATACTCTGATCCTCTATCACTCCTAAGTCTTTTTATCTTTCGATTGCACTGATTTTCAAATTCAACCACAAATACCTTGAACATATCAAGGGCTTCACTTTTGTTTTTCATCAAATAAACAAAGCAATAATCAGAGCAATCATCTATGAAAGTGATAAAGTATCTCTTGCCAGACCTAGTTAACGTCCCATCTAGTTCCCAAATATCAGAATGAATAAGATCTAAGGGTTCTGATTCTCTACTCACAGATTTATGGGGCGTTTTAGTTATTTTAGCTTGGCTACAGAAATCACATTTATCAAATTCATTCATTGAGAGTTTAGGGATATGCCCTAGCTTGCTTAAATTCTTCACAATTCGTGTGTTCACATGACAAAGACGAGCATGCCAAACATTCAAATCACACACCATGTAAACTGAAGAATTCATCTTATTAATTTCGACATTCAACTTGAACATCCCATTACATGCATATCCCTTTCCCACAAAACTCCCATTCTTAGTAAGGTTATACAAGTCTGCCCCAATAGTTTGATTAAACCCAGCCTTATTAAGAAGATATCCCGAAACAAGATTCTTCCTTATCTCTGGAGTGTGCAACACATCCTTGAGCACCATCTTCTTCCCAGAGGTGAAGTTCAGCTCCACTTCACCAGAACCAGCAACCATAGTAGTGTGGGTAGTCCCCAACAATACTTTCTTGTCAGCAGGTGCTTCTGTGTATGTTTTGAACATAGCACGATTGTTGCATACATGCTTCGATGCACCTGTATCCAGCCACCTTCCTTCTGAGTCACCGGTGAGGTTAACTTCAGCGATCATATATGTGATCATGGCTATCAAATCCTCTTCTGTCAAGTTAACTGATAGGGCAAAAGCGTGTAGCTTCAATTCCTATCTCGTAGTAAACCGGAAAGTCCGGGTATCGTCTCTCAGGGACCGGTACAACCTTATATTCTATCAAATTTTTGAGCAAACTATAAGTGAAAATGGTTTGAGATATAAACTAATTTCTAAAAGCAAAATAATTAAACTAATTAAGCAAAGTAAACTTGTCGGGAGAAATTCAATGGGAGAAGCTCTGGGAGAAACACCGGGATTCACTACCTATCCTATCCAGATTAATTCACATATTCCAATCAATTTAATCCAATTCTCTACAGCCAGGATATCACGAATGTGCTAGCTATCCCTGTCGGGAATTACTACGTACTAAATAATCAATTCAAATCCTACTGTCGTGGCTCAATGAATTAACTATCTAGCCTGAAGATCGATATCCTATTTAAGACCGCATAGCACCTTATTTAATCCACTGTCGCTTCGATAAGTTACTATGTCACATGAAATAGGCTCGGTTAATAGGGTTTCACTGTCGCTAATAACCTAATCAACTACGATTCATTGTATTGGTGGCCAGTCAACACAAGGCATTAAGCAATTTCATGCAATAGAGATTGGAAGAAAAGAATCATAAATCAATCCATCAAATCAAGAAATAGCTACATCCTATGGTGTTTCCCCCAGAAATTGGGGTTTAGTTCATGACGAAATTAAGATAAATCGATAGGGTTTTGTTCATCATGTTCTAAAACAACAAGAAACAACTAATTAGGTTTAGAAAATCCAACCAACTAATCGCTCTCGTTGAACTCAGCTCAAGCCTTGAAAAGAGGTCGATCGCCAAATTCCAATCGCCGCTCGCTGCTCTCTCCGCCAAAAGAGAATTCCGCCCTCCTTAGAATTATGCCCGATCCTTCAATTAAAAGTGCCCCCTCCAAATTCCCTGCTGCTTCTCTTTTTTGCTTTTCTTCTGT